TCACAAATTAAGGACACTTGGTCCTTAACTTAGAGTTACAAGCACAGAAATTAAGGACATGTAATCTTTAACTTAGAGTTCCAAGTTCAAAAAATAAGGACATGTAGTCCTGAACTTAGAGTTACAAGTTAAAATGTTAAGGACATGTAATCCTGAACTTAGAGTTACAAGTTCAAAAGTTAAGAATAGGAAGTCCTAAACCGAGAGTTACAAGCTCAAAAATTAAAGACATGGTGTCCTTAACTTAGAGTTACAAGCACAGAAATTAAGGATATTACCTTGATGTCATTTTGAATCCTTTTTTCTGATAAAGCTATTTTTTGATGTATTCTAGTACATTCTAGCTCCATATCCATTTTGAACTTCTCCGATAATCTCTGAATCAAAAACCATAAAAACAAAAAAGTCTCTCAAGCAAAAACAAGCAAATAAAAAACTAATGGTATTCAAAGACAGAAAACCTACGTTAACAATTTCCTTAAGCAAGACTTCATCAAATTGTGTTGAAGGCATTGAACTTTGATCTTGAGACAATGGCACATGCACACTAGTGGGATCCGTATCTACTTCAGAAGAAAGAAATGGTACCATCTCGAGCAACTGATACAACTATTATATAAGAAAAAAAAACGTAAGTATTCAGAACTAAAACACATAAACAAAAAAATAGCTAGTAATCCTGTTAACTTACTTTTTTATTATGGAAGTACTTTTTACATAGGGTGTCATAATGTGGAGATTTCATATCTGAATAACATAGCATCCGGGGGAACCCACATTCTCTGAAGTTCACAAATTGTTTTTCCTGAAAAATTGGGAATACTTCCATAATCCAAATACAGAATGCGAAAGGGAAGCCAAGTATAGTATAACTGTCCTTCTCTTTATCTTTCTCTTTCTCTTTCTCATTCTCATTCTCATTGTCTGAAGTATTTTGTTTGGGATTCAAGCAGCTCTTCAATGATTTTAGTAATTTTTCATAACAAAGAGAGCCCCAATTGAAAGAAGAGCAGAGTGCATCGTCATCTACGATTTTCATTACCCGCTCAGACACATTCCGATTCTTGCGCTTCCCCATCAACACAGATTCAACAAAATAAATTGTTGCCAACTTCACCGCATCGTCATGGCTGCCTACAAATGATGCAGTTGTACCATATGGGTGACTAGTAATAAAATACCACAAATCACCTAACTCGATTCTATCCTTTCCAGGGAGGTAGACTTTCGAAAGCCTATTCTCTCTTTCACATAAAACTTTGAAGTCCACTGAAGAAGAACATTTCACCCCAGTAATTATCTGGAACGCTTTACGTGTAAACTTCACTTCATGATCAAAAACCTTGAATGTCATTGAATGCGAGTCATTGCTTATAATTTCTGAAAGCAACGCACAACGAATAAGTCTACCACAGAACTTCACACCTTGTAATCGGAAAAAGTTTCCGAAAACACCATCCCTCAACTTCTTCCATTGCGTGTTCGACAAGAAACTTTTTATTGTTTCCTTATACTGAAAATCTCCTTTCCAATAGCTCATCGAATTACGCCAATCATCAAACTCGAAAATACGATCTCCTTCCATTAGCATATTACAAAGAAGGAAATAGAACGTAAACATTAGGACTATCTTTCTGAAATGTCCTTAATATTTAAACTACAAAACTAAAATCCATGACCTAAGTAGATGCATCTTTAATAGAAGAACAGTATACTAAAATTAGCTTACAAATTCTTAGGACTATTTTTCTGAAATGTCCTTAATATTTAAACTACAAAACTAAAATCCATGACCTAAGTAGATGCATCTTTAATAGAAGAACAGTATACTAAAATTAGCTTACAAATTCTTAGGACTATTTTTCTGAAATGTCCTTAATATTTAAACTAAAAAACTAAAATCTAGGACCTAATTAGATGCATCTTTAATAGAAGAACAATAAACTAAAATTAGCTTACAAATTCTTAGGACTATTTTTTTATNAACATACTAGTACGTTGGTTCGCTGCAGAGAAGATGACAAAGGAGAAGAGATTAAGTTGGACAAAGTATACGCAGAGAATTGTTGTGGGCTGGGCAGGAACGATATTGAGGGAGCAAAATTTTTCTTATGAAATTTTGGCTTTGAACTTCAATTGAGAGAAGAGAGTTGCATGCAGGAACGATATTGAGGGAGTGAAATTTTGCCTATGAAATTTTGGCTCTGAACTTAAATGAGAGAAGCGTATAAAGGAAGGGTTTGGGAATAAAAGAAATAGAAGAAAGGGTAAAAATATCTTTTCATATTAATTTTAATAGAGTAGTGGCTATTTTTGCTCAACATTAGAATTGGTGGATAAAAAATAAATACCACCTTATTTAGTGGCTACCACACGCTATTTTTACGTAAAATGAGACACATATATTTTGTGTGACTATAAATCATTACATAAAGGTAAAATATTTCCAAATAGGAAAAAAGTCATTTTTTTTACACGGACTAAAAAAAATATAAGTTCACATAAATTGAAACGGATGGAGTTTTAATTACTCCCTCTATTTCAAATTAGATGAGATACTTTCCTTTTTAGTCTATTTCAAAATAAATGGCACATTTCTAAATTTGGAAATAATTCAACTTTAAATTTTTCATTTCACCTATTTTACCCTTTATGAGAAGTTTTTATAACCATACAAATATCATCACCCTACAAAGCTTTTACCCCTTAAGCTTTTAAGACCACAAGTTTCAAAAGTCTTCTTTTTTTTTTCTTAAAACTCCGTGCCGAGTCAAACTACCTCGTCTAAATTGAAACGGATGGAGTATTTATTTTGATACTCCGAATCGCTTAGTGGCATCTTGCGTGATAGTAGCTCTGCTGTTGTTCAGTACTAATTCGTTAGTAATTTTTTTACGAGGATTCTTTGGCTTTTATTTGTCTCGAGAAAATTCTATACTATATCGTGTTGTAGACAGGTGTAAATACATAGATAATCCCTGTTGAACTTGTATATCTACAAGAAGAAAAACAAAACAAAATATTATATTGATAACACGTGTGTATTTATTCTTTGTACAGATTAGTTGTAGTGTAGTTGGTACAGTTGTACACAGTATAAATAGGCGTAGATATTTTTTTGTACTAAGCAACTTTTACATTTTGTATCTTGTATACTTTAGCTCTGTTAATTTCTAATGAAAGAGAAGGGTCCAGAAGACTCCCTGCCTAGGTCCTTCTTCATCCTCCATTAGAGCTCATTTGAGGTGAGCTTTTCCTCTTTATTTCTTCTACTATTTTGTCATGGTATCAGAGCTAGGCTCTCAGTCCTAAGATCAATCAGTCGATTCTCCATTCGATTATATCTCTACGATAGTTTTCTGTGCGAGTAGCGAAATTTTCCCAATTTTCAATTCGATCCTCGATAAGTATGGCTATTGATGAAAACACGACGGATTCCATAAATCCACTTCTAGATTTGACAAATCCACTCTTCATGCATCCATCTGAAAGTGTGGGTTCTATGCTTGTACTGGTACCTTTCGACGGATCGGGATATAGGTCATGGAGAAGAGGAGTTCTCAGAGCTCTCTCAGTGAAAAACAAGGTGAGATTCATAAACGGAAAATGCAGGAAACCGGATTCCAAGGACCCTAGTTATGATCAATGGGAACAATGTGACAATATGGTCACGTCGTGGATTCTGAATTCTATCTCAAAGGATTTAACGGATAATCTGCAATATGTTAATGATGCTCAGAAACTTTGGCAGGAACTAGAGGATAGATATGACCAGACAAACGGAGCGAAGCTGTATCAATTGCAGAAAGAGATAAATGATTTGAGTCAAGGAACCCTAGACATCACTGGGGTATTACACTAAGATGAAGAAGCTCTAGGAAGAGCTGAACATGTTGAATGCACATGCTCAGTGCAAATGCAACTGTACATGTGGTGCTAAGGCAAATATGCAGAAGGTTGAGCAGGACAGAAGGTTGATTCAGTTCTTAATGGAGCTAAACGAAGTTTATACTGTGGTAAGGGGAAGTATTCTGATGATGAATCTGTTGCCTTCACTCACACAGGCTTTTTCAATCCTTATCTAAAAGGAGAAATAAAGAGAGGTCAAACCAAATGATCAGTTTGTGATTGAATCTACTGCCCTGAGTGCAAATAGGTCAGGAGGAAATTCTTTCAGAACAAGTTATAATCAACAATCAAATACTCAGACAATGCTGGATATACAAACTACAATCAACAAGGAAACAGAACTGGGAACAATAACTACAGGGGAGGATATTTTGGGAGCAGACCCAGGTTTTTTTGTGACTATTGTAAGAAACCAGGTCACACTAAGGAAAGATGCTACAAATTACATGGTTATCCACAAGATTCAAGGTTCAACAAAGGAAAGAGAATTGTTGGAAATGTATATGGAAGTCAAAGTGAGAATGGCATTGAAGGTGAATATGGAGGCAATGGCCAAGTACAGGAACATGATCGAACCATGCAAAACCTTACAAAGGAACAATATAATCAACTACTGAGCATCCTGGAGAATTTTCATGCTGGAAATGGAGGAAATGAACTGAAAGCAGGAGCTGTGAACTTTGCAGGTATTTCAGCTTGCTCAACTTCATTTGATTCTGGTGCTAACTCATATGAGTGTTTTAGATCAATTGCTGATTCCTGGATACTTGATTCTGGGGCATTAAATCACATGACCTATAACAAATCCATGTTTGACCAATGTGAAAACTTTAGTATACCCTTTCTTAGTTACACTGCCTAATAGTTATAAGGTGAATGTGACATTGATAGGAGATGTAGTCATGAGTCCTAGGTTCACCCTAAAAAGAGTCCTTTTTGTCCCTAGTTTCAAATTCAACCTAATTTCTGTGCATTGCTTAACAGTTCAACTTGATTGCTTTGTCATATTTTCCAAATTTGCTTGTATCATTTTGCAGGACCCTTCACTGAAGAGGCCTCTGGCAATTGGTAAAAGTAAAGATGGTCTGTACCTTTACACCTCATATTCCTGCAAGTCTAATTCCTTGGTTAATGCCAATTCATCTAGTTCATCTAATAAAGGTGATGCAATCACTAAATCTGTTTCACATGTTCCATCTAGCCTAACTAGTAGTAATAATGTTGTCTCACACTCTGTTTCACATGTTGTACCTAGTTCACACACTTCTTCTCATGAATGCAATAAAGTTGTCACAAATTCTCATGTGCAATGTAAAGGAAATGCCAATTCTACATACAATGCATCTATGTTTGATAAAGATATGATTGATCTCTTGTGGCACAATAGATTGGGACATGTAGCCTTTGCCAAAATGAGAGGAATTGAGTCCATACCTGTTCATTTTTCACCCAAACAACCTTTCATTTGTCCTATATGCCCAATGGCTAGACAAAACAGATTGCCCTTTCCAGAAAGAACTACAGTCACAACCAAAATATTTGAAATCCTACATGTTAGTTTATGGGGGCCCTATCATGTCCCAACACATGATAGGCATAAGTACTTCATCACCCTAGTAGATGACGACAGTAGGTGTACTTGGACACACCTGCTTAGCTGCAAAAGTAATGCTCTGCAGGTAGTCAAGGCTTTCACTGCCATGGTAAAGAATCAATTCAATTGCTCCATTAAGACCATTAGAACTGACAATGGTCTTGAGTTCATAAACTCTAAGACTGCTTCCTTCTTGCAGTCTGAGGGCATTATACATCAGAAAATATGTTCCTATACGCCCCAACAGAATGGCATTGTAGAAAGGAAACATAAGTATCTTTTAGAAACAGCCAGGGCACTGTTGTATCAGTCTAAACTCCCCATGCAATACTAGGGAGAATGCATTCTCACCTTAACCTATTTGATTAACAGACTCCCTTCTACTACCCTAAAAAAACAAATGCCCATTGGAGTTACTTTACAAAAGAAAACCCAACTATTCTCACCTTAAAAGTTTTGGATGCCTTTGTTTTCCTACAACCCTCAAAACTCACAAAGATAAGTTTGAAACAAGATCCTTACTTCATGTTTTTGTGGGATACCCCTTTGGGACAAAGGGTTACAAGGTACTCAATCTAGTCACAAAGAGAATTCATGTATCAAGAGATGTTGTATTCCATGAAAGTGTATTTTCTTTTGCTTTGCATTCTGATTCCAATAGAGTCTTTCTCTCATTTCCACAAATAAATTCAGACTTGGCACAAGACCTGTTTCCCCCTCATGAGTCAGTATCTCTTCCTAGTTCACTTGGTCCATATCTCCCAGCTATGTCACCTGACTCCTTATCACTAGGGCTGAGTGAATCCAATTCTCATACAACTTCAAACTTTGAAGAATATTCTACCCTGTTTGAGAACAATCAGCATGAGACATCTATCAACAATACTCCCAACTTAGTGATTCAACAACCTAATGAAACATCAGGAACACCCTCCAGAACTCTCAAAGTCCATACCTATTTAAAAGATTATAATTACTCACTCCCCACGTTACAGACAAGCCACCTTAACTCTCCTTCCAGCAGCAACCAAAGCATTACCTCACTTTCTTTTAATGTATCTATACCCAATGCCCAATGTGTTTCACTCAATGCTTTGAGTTCTGCTAGTCAGCAATTGATCAAAAACATTTCACATGGGACTGAGCCCAGTTCATATGAAGAGGCAGCTGCTGATCTTGTATGGCAGACAACTATGAATCAGGAATTTGAAGCACTTTATGCCAACCATACTTGGAGTTTAGTGCCACTTCCAGCTGGAAAAAGAATAATAGGTTGTAAATGGATATATAAGGTGCAGTACAAGGCAGATGGGAGCATAGAAAGATTTAAAGCAAGGCTAGTAGTAAAGGGATACACTCAGCAGGCAGAGGTAGACTATACAGAAACTTTTTCATCAGTAGTAAAGATGACAACTGTTAGAGCTCTAATTGGGATAACAGTGAAGAAAGGATGAGAGATCTCCCAACTAGATGTCAACAATGCATTCCTCCATGGGGACCTCCATGAGGAAGTATATATGGAAGTACCTCCAGGTCATGTTGTGGAAAGGCCAGGCTTAGTGTGCAAATTGAATAAGTCCTTATATGGTCTGAAACAAGCAAGCAAGCAAGCAATGGTATGAGAAGTTGATTGCAGCACTCTATTCCAGAGGATACACACACTCCCTACTCGACTATTCATTGTTCTACAAGAAGCATGGAACTTCATTGGTGTTTGTGGCTGTTTATGTAGATGATGTCCTAATAATAAGGACTGATTTACAGGAAATAGAAGCACTGAAGGCTTTCTTACATGAGACCTTCAAAATAAAGGACATGGGAAGGCTACATTATTTCCTGGGGTTGGAAATTTTGTATAAGGATGATGGGGTAATCTCAAAGAAAATCCACAATGGATCTATTGACAGAGTTTGACTGCACCAAGTACTCTGCTATAACTTCTCCACTTGATCCTTCAACTTAGCTAAGTGCATATGGGGGGTCTCTAATGCCTGATCCTTCTCACTACAGGAAACTAGTAGGAAAGCTGAATTTCTTAACTAATACAAGGCTTGACATATCTTATAGTGTGCAACATTTGAGTCAATACATGCTGAGTCCTAGGGAGCCACACCTGAAAGCTGCATACCATGTACTTAGGTACCTTAAAGGTGATCCAAGCTTAGGGATTTTTCTATCCACATCAAAGACTACAGGGTTCGAGCCTTCAGTGACTCAGACTGGGCCGCCTGCCTGAGTCAAGGAAATCAGTTAGTGGATATGTTGTGTTGCTAGGTGACAGCTCTATTAGCTGAAAATCTAAGAAACAACACACCATTTCATTATCCTCAACAGAAGCAGAATACAGAGCAGCTAGACAAGTTATGGGAGAATTAGTGTGGTTACTTAGGCTGCTTGAAGAATTGACAATTCCCTTAACATTACTTGTTCCAGTTTTCTGTGATAGCCAAGCAGCTCTCCACATAGCTAAGAATCCTGTTTTTTATGAACGTACAAAACACATAGAAGTGGACTGCCACTTTGTGAGGAATCAACTACACGAGGGATTCATCTTATTACATCACATTTCCACACATGAGCAACTGGCAGATATATTCATCAAGCCNGGGGGGGAGGGTATTGAGAGCATGTGTATTTATTCTTTGTACAAATTAGTTATAGTGTAGTTGGTATAACTGCACACATGTACACATTATAAATAGGCGCAGATATTTTTTTGTACTAAGCAACTTTTACATTTTGTATCTTGTACACTTTAGCTCTGTTCATTTCTAATGAAAGAGAAGGTTCCAAAAGACTCTGCCTAGGTCCTTCATCCTCCATTAGAGCTCATTCGAGGTGAGCTTTTCCTTTTCATTTCTTCTACTATTTTGTCACAGGTAATTTCATTTCATGTCTATGGGAGGACAAATAGAGAGAAAAAGAAAAAAGAAGAACGCGCCGTATAGGGGTATAAATTTGATTTGAGCTTAAAGTTCAAGGCTTCAAGCTCGAGAAAAAGAGTTCTAATTCCATTTTTGTCGTATTATTTGAAAGTGAGATTGTGAGAGCTTAAGTTGTAGATGCACCGGGAGAATCAAACATGAAGTTGAAACCCATACAGATTAGAATAAATGACGGCGTTGCTGACATATTTACATGACATCAGTTCATTACAGCGACACCCATAACCTAAGATCACGTACAAGATTACACTAAGGAGGGAAAAATGAAAAAGAAAAGGAAGAAACCCAAAAGATTTAATCAGCGCTGACACTAGTTTGAAAGCTATCATAGCCAAGCTCCCCATCCAGGAAACATATGACACAAACGATCAGGATCAATGGCGTCGTGTATGAGTTGTTGAACCTGCAAAAAGGGGGACACTTATCACCTCTTTCCTTTCTTTTATGCAACATAGATTGAGGTACCAATAGGAAATTCAAGTTTGAGTCAAAGGAAAGTATGCGTCTTATAATCACAGTACCCTATCAGCCAATTGGAAAGAATTTGCTGATCAATTTCAGTCAAGAGAGAAAGCAAATAAAGATAATTAGAGTTGCCTGAACCTGAAAGCACAATTTCTGAAAAGAGCATTCATATAGTAGTGTGTATTATTTGTGTAGAAGGTAAAGAATGATGCTCTCAAGTTTAATTAGACATATCACTGGGCTAGCAGGGATTAAAATTAATAATCAGATTAATAATTTAAGCCGTTAGGATAAAAAATGAGGAAAATTAGGAACTTTTTGTTAGTGTATAGTCAATAGTGTGTGTGAATTGATGCCTTATTCCGGTTACCTGCCCATGAACACTTCTCATTTCACCTTCTTCATATCCATCTAACTTTTGTTTAACGCGCATCAAGGCTCTAGCAGCATCCTTGTTCCCCTCATAGTCATCTTGTTGAGAGTCTTCCAAACTGGTTTCCAGATCATCTTCACTTTCCTAACAAGCAGAAATAGTTCAATAAGCCTTTGTAAATGCGAAGATGAACATTATTATACCTTTTTCAGATATCAACCAGTTCATATATACACGTATTTTATTTGAATTGTAAAAACATGAGTACAGGCTATTCTAATGGGGACTTGGGTAGTAAGTCTATGTGCTTTACGATAGTAAGACAAGAACTTGCTTCTAGCTAAAACTAGTTTCACCACCTATAAACTAATGGGCTCCTACAAAACTGAGTGTACTTTGGAACAGAGCAGTATGAGGTCTTGACTTGCTCATACTCAGCCGTTCAATTAGTTTTACGCCTCCGCGTGCCACATACTTTCTGACAAGTCTGTTCGAAACCAAAATTTTCAAATTAGGAGTGCTATCAAGGACTAACGTTAAATTTGGGCATTAAGAAAGTTGGATTTTGTCTACTTATTCGAGGAAAAAAGAAAAGAGTTGGATTTATCCCATCTCATTGAACTTCACAAGCAGAAAAACTACTTTAGATAATGTAGACACTTTTTTAATATACAAAAGTCAGGTTCAAAATGCATATGCATGTCTCACCAGCTGTAATGTCCAAGACAACCCACACAACAATACTTTTCTGGTTGCTCCTTCAGACATACAGTCAGGTGCATAATGCATTGTGGATAATATGCCTACAAATGTCACGTTAATAGAAGTGGAATGACAGTCTAGGTCACAAAACAAAACCAGAATCAGGGTTTTCGTACAAGTTAGCCAAAAGCGTGCTTTCATATGTAATAATTAATAACCTATGTTAAGTATATCTGCAAATATATAAATTAGCACTTTAAAAATATTATATATATCAATTAGGAAGATCCAATGCTACAAATTTTGATTCTTTCCTATTTTAGAATGCGCAGATCGGTAAATTGAGAACACTCGAGCTGAAAATGTCCCACAATTCTCCTCCTCTTTTTCCTACAAACATATATTATGAGACCTAAGTATTTTAAAGTAAGCTCTTGGCAACACAAAATAAAAAGAAAATAATTTGAGGAGTAAAGGTAAATTCAGTAGACACTACACTTTCCATGAGCAGAACAAATGTTCAATATTTATCCTCAGAATGTGCAAGCACATCAGAGAAATGATAAAGCCCACTTGTATTATTGTTCATTACTATTTCTCTTATTTTCTTGCTTCTTGTGAGGATAAATACTCAACTTTAATGCAGCTCAAGAGACTAATAGAAATCATGAGTTCATAGGGGATATTTTTCACTCATATTCTTTTCCCTTTATCCTCTTGACTTGGCAGCTAACATTTAGACATTTACCCATTGCAAGTGCACCATGTCAAATTATTGATGAGTAAGTGACTCAGAACGAAAGATTCATCTTTTTCACTTTTCAGTATGTTCATAAGAGAGTATAAAAACATGGCTTTTGTTAAAATTGACTTTGTTAAGTTATAAGTATTATTCTTTAATGTTCTTATTCAGTTAAATACTAGATAAAAGTTACATCCGTGAATAGCCATGCATCGAATATTTCAATTATTAATTATTCAGTTTAAACTACCGCAAAAGCACTGAATATACATATTTAGTACACGGGTTTTCTCTAGTGCAAGAATTACATATAAGAATGATAAATTCAGCTTCTGGGAAAAGAACAAGAAGATCCATGTAAAAACAATTTTCACTTTAAAACCTCATATCCCAAGATCCAGAATAAAGCAACCCTCTTTTTTCACTTTAAAACCTCATATCCCAAGATCCAGAATAAAGCAACCCTCTTTCTTTATCCAAACTCATACTAGAAACAGCATCAAAATGCTTAATCCACGGAACATTACGATTTCTTCTAACTTCAAGATACGCCTTGGGATTAATGGAACTTATTAAATAATCTCTAATGGTAGGTAAACTACCAACTCGTTTAAAGGCTTTTCTTTTTTTACCCAAAAATTTCCAAACCCGAATTTTACCATCCTGATGTCCGGTAAATATTTTATCTCCGTAAACAACAATTGCTTTTACTAATCCGCTGTGAGACTTGAACCCAGAATATTCCTTCAAGTTTTTCCATACTCTAATATTTTTGCTATCAAGAACTACATATAAGAATGAGTTCATAAGGGATATTTTTCACTCATATATTCTTTTCCCTTTATCCTCTTGACTTGGCAGCTGACATTTAGACATTTATCCATTGCAAGTGCACCATGTCAAATTATTGATATCCATTCTAAGCAAGACTCCTGAATTGATAAATCCCATCATTCAAGAATCACAGAGAATGACATTTCATCAGTAATGTTTTTTACCACTTTTACGTTGTATCTTAAATGAACTTTTGACTTTCAGTTTTCTTAATGAATATGACACTAACATTGCAAGTGGACTTCAGAAAAGGATAAACGCCAAGATCATTGATATACCTTCTGACGTTGCAAAGCCTTTAGAGGGGATAAAGCCCACTTGTATAAAGGATCATGGATAAAGACCTGCAGTGAAGGTCCGTAAGTATGACTGACGGACACAGTTTAAACTCTTAATGTGGTAGGAATAGGCATCTGAAATGCGGTACCTCGATAATGGTAAGCAGTGCTTCTTTGTTTGTCCGCATAACAGACAGGGTTTCCTCACAGCATCTTCTAAAAACCCCTTCCACCCCAGTTACGCCCATGCCATCAATAATGTCCCTACTCAGCCTGAAGGGTACCTGCAATAGATCATTATGGATGACCATTGAGATACAGGCTGAGAAAATTTAAACAATGACATGATCTTATAAAACAAAAGAGTGACATATGGATATGTGAGAGTATGAGTGAAAAGATTAGGAATACAAGAAGACAAGTGACTTCAACCTAAGTTCTTTTGTAGATACCCTATATAGCGTATATAACAAATCCATCCACTGTGGGCCACTAATACATATTTACACATCTGATTAACTTTTCTTTGTGAATATGACCAACTTTAATATAACTAATCTAACAGAACAGAAGTATTGAAATAAACAAACCCTTTCGGGAGTTTTCAGCATAAGGCCCTGCTCAAATGCAACCCCAAGATCTATGTGAACAACTTCTGCAGTGGCTTGATCTACAAGGATATTCGTGGAATGCCGATCTCCTAGTCCAACAATATATCCGACCTGAATGTAAAAGAAGTATGAGCATTCAAAACTATTAGATAAATCAAGATCTTGACATTAAATATCTAGCAAGAACTTAAGCTCAAACACAGTTCTCTAATTTCTGTTTATAATTACACAATTTCTTTTCTGGTTTACTAGGAAATATTTGAAGAGAGTACTGTTTCAGAAAGTTGCTAAATCACTGGAAGTAGTACCATTGAACTTGCGGCCACGCTTCTGGTATAAGCAAGCCTCTTTTGAAACCAGTCAGCTGGATGAAAAAATCTCTCCAAGAAAAAGTGATGCATGACAGGCCTGCAGCGAAGACAATTAGATAGCTCAAACAACTTGAGCACAAGGTCTTATGGAAGGTGAGTAATACCTGAAGTTATCACAGACTTCCTGGAAGGCCTTCCGCTTGTTACTTTCCTACACAAAATGTAAACATTATTGAAATAAGTCATATACAAAACTCCCAACTAGATATGGTGTTCCAGTTTCAATGTGCTAATTGATGCACTTTTGAGCTTCAATTTTAAATTATAATAAAAGATGCCCCACACGTTTATGCCATGTCCTTCTACTGTTCAACTCATACAGCCACCTAGGGGTGGCAATCGGACGGGTCGGGTCGGATATGGATGGGTAAAACGGGTAATGCAAAAACGGATAAATTATCCGACCCGACCTATATTTAATATGGATAAAAAACAGGTTAACCGGCGGATAATATGGATATCCATATTGTCCATGGCTTCTTGAATATGATCACTTTTTGGAAGAACTCTTAGTCTCCCAAACTAGAGGAACCCCCAACTTGAGGCTTTACAAATGTAAAAGTTAAACCCATTGGTTATCCAATTTCTAAGTGGATAATATGGTTCTTATCCATATTTGACCCGTTTTTAAATATGGTGTTTGAGCTTCACTGAACATAATAACTAAAGCCAGCATGACTAACCAACACCTCCCCCCAAAAATAAAAGAAAGAAAAAGAACAGAGTTACGCCTATGGAATTAAAAGCAAATCTATCGGCATGACTAACTTGAAACTAAGAATTACAAACCAATTGTATGCAGCTTCACATAAATCTTTATATCTCATTTTATATCATGCATTCTGCATTCCCAAACGAGTTTCAAATGCTTGTACTATTTGTTAGAATTTACGCATTGGTTGAGGCCTGAGGGAATGACCTGATGTCTATGATCCTTGGCAATCCTAACCTTTATGCTCTGGCTTTTGGAGTTAATTTAAGCCCAAGGTTCAACTTCTCACATGGTATCAAAACCAGACCCATCCCTATTCTTGATTTATGCAATGTTGGACCCCACATTCTATAGTTCACACTCTAAATGTCCATGCCCAATGCGAAGAGTTAGAATGTCACACATTGGTTGAGGGAATAGACTGTTACCTCCATATATAGCGTTCTGCAATACACACCTCATTAGCTAACTTTTGGAGTTGAGTTAACCTCAAAGTCCATTTTTAACACTATTCAAAGTCATGGCTCTAAGGTCATATAAAGTTTCTCGTCCATTTACTATCTCCGATTTAGATATTCCTACATGTCAAAAGAGATTGTGGGAGGAAGTTAAGGGATTTCCTCGAAAGCCCCTCCAAACATGCACATATACTTAGGTAAGCTTGCCCAAAAAGTAAGCAAATTTGTTCTTGTTTAACCTCAATGATGTTTCTCTAGCTACAAACAAACATATCGTGGATGATACGGAAAAGATTTAAGTGGGATACACTGAGAGAGGATACAACAACTATGTCTCACTCAGAAATAGTTGGAGTTGATTACATGAATCTGTGTATTTATTGGACTCCATTTGAGCCTCTTTCGTTACATTACTCAGTATAGGAATTCTCTAAAACTATGGATTCTCTAAATCTCACACCAATCCCTACATTACTGAATAGTCTCCAACCAAACTTATGAGACTCCTGTAAACAGCCAGATCTAGTTAATGTGTCCCAATGACGACTAACCCTAATCCAAATAGCTGGTATCGAACAATACTGATAATTCACCCCTAATGTGTTTTATTTTTCGCTAAGTCCACATAAGGTCTAAGAAATTGTAAATCATTTGAGATACTTCTCTACATGAATTTCTATCAACCTCATCCTTTTTTCTAGACACCTTTAGCCATCATGGTATCAGATCTATGAATCTGCGTGCACCTTCTGTCGCGCGTTAAATTTTGTAGTCTTATCTAATATTATACGACCACAATTTCATTTTAACATCTACATTTTTGTCACACTCGTTATGAATACTTATAGGACGAACATTCACTCTCATATAGCGTTTCCGGTCTCATAATTGTTTTACAAGAATTTGCCTCAATCTGGTAGGTATCCCGACACTTCCATGAAACTTAGTCTTCATCCATAATTATTTTCTTAAAAGACCGAGCCTAAATATCTTAGTCGTCTAATGTCACCTCGACATCATTTTTCTTATGTTGGATGAACCTGCAGTGTATATATTCCATCTCACTTTGACATGTCCTAAAACCCTTAATATCAAGAGTTCTGCACTTTAGTTTATTTTCTCACCAATTCCATCAATTAACGAAATATCATCTAGGAATACCATACACCATAGAACCCCAACTTGTATGCTATTGATTAACCTCATACATAACTAGAGTAACAAGTACGTGCTCAAAGTAGATCTCTAATGTCAAAAAACAGTTAACATATGCTTTCTATCTTGCTCAGATTTAAGGAGATATGTAAAGTCGTCCTCTTGATTTGAGTTGAGCCATTGATCGAATAGCCTCTCTATACCGATTGATCTCTATCTCCTACCAAGACTTGTGGGCAATTGTCCGTAAAAACTAAACTTTTTTTTTTGTAAGGTAAATAATTTTATTAATAATTGGGGGAAACCCCGCATACAAGCTGTATGCCTACACCAAAATATGGTTCTCAACAAAAGAGACCCAATCCATCCTCTATACAAATAGGGACCTCACGAGAACACTGAAAAGAAACTAGAAACAAAAAACTACTTTATAATTTTTTCCAAAATCTTGTTCTACCCCTTCAAATGCTCTCCTATTTCTTTCATTCCAAATAACCCACATGATTGCTAATGGGGCAACCTGCCATGCCCTAGGACTTCTCTTTCCCCTCAGGTGAACCCAGCTATGCAACGCCTCTTTCACATTGGGTCGCAAACAAATTAAGGACCACCCTCCACAACCGATTAGCCACTTGACAACGCAATAGAAGATGATTTACGTCTTCGCCCGAGCTTTTACACATGAAACACCAACCAAGATAAGTGAATCTCCCTCTTTCTTAGATTTTCCACGGTTAAAATCACTCCCCTTGCCGCCAACCATGCAATGAAACACACCTTTCTCGACGCTCTAGGAGTCCAAATAGAGCAATGTGGAAAGATGTATTCCTCTCCTAGCAACCTCTTATAATATGATTTGAGAGTGAATTCCATCTCTACACTCCAGCCATCTCCATGATATGTAGTTTGGCGTATTCAACCCATACAATATCTCAACCACATTGTGAAATTCACCATCTCCCAATCTTGTAAGTCCCTCATGAATCTCAAATCCCGAAAACTATCCTTTTATGAGACCTATAGATTTGTTGAACTGCCATTCCTCTTTGGCTTGATAAACTATACAAGTTAAGGGAGGCTTCCCTCAACTCGTTCTCCCTACACCACTTATGCGCTCAAAAACTAACAGTGCTTCCATACCCAACCCTAAAAGAAATATGTCGACTAAAGTCTTCCCACCCCTTCACGATATTTCTCCACAAGCCACTATGGAGCTGTGATGTTTCTGGTCCTCCCTTCCATTATACCATATTTTTCCGCTACCACGCCCCTCCAAAATGCATTCTCTTCCATCCCAAATATCCATATCCACTTTCCAAACAAAGCTTTGTTAAAAACCTTGAGATCTTCCACTCTAATTCATCCCCATTACTTTCGAGATGCCCTAGGACTTCTCTTTCCCCTAAGGTGAACCCAGCTATGCAACACCTCTTTCACATTGGGTCACAAACAAATTAAGGACCACCCTCCACAACCGACAAGCCACTTGACAACGCACTAGAAGATGATTTACGTCTTTGCCCGAGCTTTTACACATGAAACACAAACCAAGATAAGTGAATCTCCCTCTTTCTTAGATTTTCCACGGTTAAAATCACTCCCCTTGCCGCCAACCATGCAATGAAACACACTTTTCTTGACGCTCTAGGATTCCAAATAGAGCAATGTGAAAAGATGTATTCCTCCCCTAGCAACCTCTTATAATATGATTTAAGAGTGAATATTCCATCTCTACACTCTAGCCATCTCCATGATATGTAGTTTGGCGTATTCAACCCATACAATATCTCAACCACATTGTGAAATTCACCATCTCCCAAACTTGTAAGTCCCTCCTGAATCTCAAATCCCAATAAACTATCCTTTCATGAGACCTATAGATTTGTTGAATTGCCATCCCTCTTTGGCTTGATACACTATACAAGTTAAGGGAGGCTTCCCTCGACTCGTTCTCCCTACACCACTTATGCGCTCAAAAACTAACAGTGCTTCCATACCCAACCTAAAAGAAATATGTCCACTAAAGTCTTCCCACCCCTTCACGATATTTCTCCAAAAGCCACTATGGAGTTGTGATGTTTTTGGTCCTCCCTTCCATTATACCATATTTTTCCACTATCACGCCCATCCAAAATGCATTCTCTTCCATCCCAAATATCCATATCCACTTTCCTAACAAAGCTTTGTTAAAAACCTTGAGATCTTCCACTCTAATTCATCCCCATTCCTTTCGAAATGTGACAACTCTCCAATTCACAAATTGCTTGTTCTTTCCGCCATGTCCCATAAGAAGTTCCGCTGAAGTCTTCCAAACCTCTCGGTCACCTTACCAGGAGACCGTAAGAGTGACATGAAATAAGTCGGTATGCTAGGAAGTGTGCTTTTGATAAATACTTCCCTCCCTCCACTCGACAAGTACCTCTTTTGCCATCCCGCTTCCCTTCTTTCGACAAGTACCTCTTTTGCCACACCGCTAACCGCTTCCCTACTCTCTCTATCATCGGATTCCACACCGCAAGATCTCTGCTCGAAGCACCGAGCGGTAGCCCCAAATAGGTAGTAGATTTAAGTTTTTACTCCTCTTGTCTCTCAATCATATATATTTTCTCCTCTCTGGCATTCCTACCTTTTGGTACAAGCTTATGGAGTCTACTAAAGAGTTCAGTAACCAAAATCCTTACCCATGCCTATTGTTTCAAGAGAAGAGAAACTTGTCAAAACATTTTGCTTAGTAATTCAACTTAGCAGGGCATTAAGGCTTCAAAGCCTCAAAAGACTGTTGAGGCACCAGCTGAATTGCTAGCAATAGAGTGAATGTATGTAATGGTTGAGAGATTTACAACAAGATTTGCAAAGTGGAAAACGAACTAAGCAGATAAGTTGTGGAACTTACCACAGTCATGTGTTGCCGACATTTCATGAATGTCCAGTCTCCTGCTCCATAGCGTCCATGGGCTCCTCCATCTCTAGTGCTGGTATTTTAATAATAAAAGGTTCAATAAGCAACTCAATCCATGAAATATACGGGTAGAGAACAATGCAGAAGCTAGTTCCACTGACCTGCCTATAAGATAATCACCAAGTGGAAGAGTGCCATTCACCCATTCCAAAACACCCGCACTTGGAGTAAAAGGTACAACCTGTCTCACAAACACAACCATCTAAAATTAGTGGACAGAGGAAGTATATACGGGTTCAAGTGTTAAAGCAACGAAACGTGGCGTAATGAACTATTTTGATTGTTAGAGCTGGAGAATTTGTACAAGGTCATATAACAACTCATTCCTGCCGAACCATGTGGAATACATTAACAAGCATATGATTGACAAAGTATCATAAGATCTTGAACCAATATTTATACAACTCCTGCGCAAGAGAGGTTTGAACAATCTACTCAATAACATTAAATCAGGAGGTGATATAGTTAATAGTCATATTAAGCAGTAGGGAAGAATAGTATAGATATTCTTGAAAGATTATCACTAAGTAAAACAAGTGTAATTAAAGAGTACAGATTTTAAGTTCAACAGAAAAGAATTAAATAATTTGGCACGCGCCCCTTCAAAGAGGAACTTAAGTCAAGGATTTTTGCTTTCCATTATAATTTGTTTTGAAATTAAAGGTGCTTTTACCCTTTTAAGATGTTACCTTGTAAGTGCGAATTCTCAGCCTTCGTTTCCAAGTGTCCCGACGGTTCTGTAAGAAAGTATTTACTAAGCCGAAGAACTGTTCCATCACCTGTGTATTAAATTCAAAATGTATATCAATACTCAAAAGAAAAGAAAACCCATAGCAGGGAATTTGCAATCCATAACATACCATTTCTTGAGCTCAATGCGTACAACACAAATTACAAGCAGAAAGGGAAGGCATCCACAGACATGAAATAAACAAGAGGCCAACTATACATTTTACCAGCACCTATAAGGCTCTAACTGATGGCTGGGATCAAACAAGGTAAAAGTACACCAAGAAATCAGGGAAGAACCGGCAATCACTGATAACAACGGAATTAACGCTTCCACAATAACCAGCAGAAATAATTGATTATAAGCCTTAAGCATTGATGCTAGTCCATGCTTCCAAATTTGACTGAGATGTAAAGAAAAGAAATAACTCTGTGGTATCTGACACTCCCCTCAATCTTCCATGATTCTCATAACAGCATGCTAGTTAAAATTGTCATGTATTTGTGCTGAATTTCAGTTTGCCAAATATAGCGGATGTAAAAGAAAGAGTTTAAGCACGTACAGCATCTTGTCTCAGGTCATCATTGCCAGATTTCGCAAGTTGTCGGTATTTATTGCCATCGGAGCCGAAACATTCAACAACTTTTGGCGCATTTATACCATTCATCACACTGTAGAACACAATAGTTAAAACACAGGAGAACTATGACAGCTGTATTTGAACAGCCTGTGGTATTGAACTACATCTAGAGCACTTAAACCATTTGTGAGAAAGCACGGGAGAAATTATATTATTGATATTAGTTTTTCAATATAATACAAGAAGTCCTATTTATAGACTCTACAAAGTACATATTACTCCTATTCCAATGTGGGACTAGACTTACTTATACACATAACTATCTAACACCATTTATTGCACTCCGAAGCACAACAGTTTAAGTCACAGGAAAATCATAAGAAACTGCTACAGAGTGGCATGTATACTTTGTTACTTACGTGACACNAACCTCATAAGAGAAAATCTGCTCTTATATTCCAATCCCTCACTTTTTAGCTGATAAAAGCATCAAACCAGCCTACATGCAGAAGTCAGTTGCAACAAGTACAGCTTGAAAAAGCCTAGGACAATTATCATCCAAGACTGCTCGTCACTCAGGGTGCGTGTGCAGACCCAGACAGTGGACACCGGGAACAGTAATATAGACTTGAATTACAGTTTGAAAGAAATAACTACTCCCTCCGTTCCAGTTTACGTGAACCTATTTCTTTTTTGGTCCGTTCCAAAAAGAATGACCCCTTTCTAAATTTGGAAACAATTTAACTTAAACACCCAATTCTACCTTTAATGAGAAGCTTTTATAACCACACAAATACTCTGGACCCCTTTTTGACTTGTTTAGGACCACAAATTTCAAAAGTCTTCATTTTTTCTTAAACTCCGTGCCCAGTCAAACAGGTTCACATAAATTGGAACGGAGGGAGTATTGAACTTACAAGTTCAAGATCTCGGATGCTGCGAATTTCCCTCGGAAGATTAAACTTTTTGTTAGTATCCTGCTCATAAATTCTAGTTGTTAGTTGTGAAATAGCAAAAGATGCTGCAGTTCCACTAACAATAAAACAAGCCTTACAGCCACCCCCATCCAACGAGAAAAAGTAAGAAATGAAAAAAGAAGAATGGAACATAAAGCAGATAAATATCAACATAACAAGAAGATGAAGACATCTGCTTACCTCCCTTTTTGTTTCTAATTCAGCTAGTTTAATGTAGATCTCAACCATTTGCTTCATCTGTTTACCAAAGAGATAACCACTTTATGGTGCAAAAAATATAAAATACACAAAGAAAACTTGCTGAAGTATAATCGAAAATCTAACCAGAATGCTGATGAGTCAGTACCTGTCTGATGACAGCTCCATGATACGAAGATAACTCCTTCAGCAGATTTTCTGCAGCGANGCTGAATTATAATCGAAAATCTAACCAGAATGCTGATGAGTCAGTACCTGTCTGATGACAGCTCCATGATACGAAGATAACTCCTTCAACAGATTTTCTGCAGCGGCTTTTTTATCCATGTCAACCACAAAAGAACTTCTGCTACGTTGTTTGTCTTTGATTCGATCACCATTTGCCAAAGCTAGAAGCTGACACAACCACCAGGAAAATAAAATCCTGATGTAGTAGGTTGATAAACATATTCATGAAATACTAGAAAGGAGTGCATCCTTCAAGTTAAGATATTTTAAATATCTTTCTGATGCGAACTGCCACTAAAATTTAGAAGAAAGCAAAGTTTGAAACAATATGGAACCTTCAACTTCACATATAAGAATCTTCAATTGTGCCCTAAATACCTGAAATATCGTATGATATGGATGGTCAATGGCCATTCTTTTGATGAGAGAAACCAAAGCAAACTGCATAACGTACAAAATTCATATTCAGTCACCTAGAAACCTCTTTTTTATGAAAAAAAAAGTATCGACTCAACCAACAGATAAAAGCAAATCAAAGTGAAAGAGCAAAAGGCACAAGTACAGAGTCTCAGGTTATACCTGGAAGTTTTGAGCTCCCTGACTTTCTTTTGTGCTTCCCATCCTTGAAGCAATTTGGTAAACTAGTGGAATAAACTTGTAAGATTGAACCTGAAAGTAAATGATAAATTGTATCCTGAATAATCTGCAGTCTAGAGCTAATATAAAATACGCAAATACAAAACAGATTATTTTGGAAGATACAGCCTTGTAAAGCTTCCGATGTCAACATATAACAATGATCGAAGAATACCTCACTTATTGTGCCGAGCATGCTATCCACAACAATTGGTCTTAATGAGAGACCAAACCACAGCGAAATAAGTCGAAATACCTGAAAAAAGGGTAGCTCTAAAGATCTAGATAAAGCCAGAGACAGCTTAATGAAATTTCTAATGACTGCATACAGTGTTGGTTTGCCGAAAAAATCTTGAAACATTTCTACTTTCCCTATTAAAAAGCAGTAAAACAGAAGCACTTCATCCATTAAAATAAATCTCGACGAACTATATAATTAAAAAATCAATAATTCTACTCCTCTATAATCATTGTTTCAGCTGATTTAGAACAAAATGACTTCAAATCTTCTCCTCCCCCCTCCAACCAAAAAAAAGGATCCAGGACTTGGTCTCAGCAGAAAAACCCATAAAATCAGAAAGCAGCAACCAATACATACCACCCTGACATCATATTTATCTCCTATTACTAAACAGCGTTTATATTCATCAAGTGCCGTGCTCAGAAAGTTGTCCCTGTCTTCCTGAACAGCCAAGATAAGAAAAGAAAGTAAATCATGACAATTAACAAACGCATAATCAGCTTCAGGTAATGTGCAACAGTTTGCACAGGAAATAATTGCAAGTGTTAAAATTACTCCTGAACTTTAAAAGAGGAGAAGGAACAGTTCAATAACTTTTAACAACAGTGAAGACTAGGACAAAGGTTTATCAGTGTAACAAAAATTAAGGAGAATTATAAAAGCTACTTTAATTTGAATTGTCTTTTCAAAGTACTTCATTTGACAGAGAATAAAAAGATAATATTTTAATAGTAATTTCCCGCCGTATAACCTACAAGATCATTTATACAGCTCTTATGTACCTTTAACACTATTGGCAAATTCAAAACTGTTAACAGTTGCCAATGGGAAATTAAGACTAAATACATTTAAAGCTGCAATGCTGCACGTGAACCAATGAGAAAAACCATCTGGAATACAGTAGAAACCACCTTAAAATTAATTTTTTTTTAAAAATAAAGAAGATAAAAGGGTTTTCCATGAAGTAGTGCTAAAGAGAGTAATTATCATGCCACCTGCAACTTTTCAGCCTCTTCTTTGTCCATTGCCAGCTGCTTCTGCAACTCTTGTATTTTTGCTGAACAGTCGGTCTTTTCTCCCTAGTATTAGAGAAATATCACATTTAAATAGGTGCAAATTCAGAATCATCCTATCTCTATAACACCAAAAAGAAAGCATGACCATCATCAAGCTTACCTTTGTTGAACTTCTTAATCGTTTAACTAATGCTTCCAGCTCCCTTGTCTGAAAAATAAAATTTACATAAATAACCATGGGATTATTGATTTGCCACCATTGTTTCATGACTTCCTATTATTCTTTGGTTTATTTCAGTTCCATTAGAAGGAATAAGGATAGCATACCTTGTGCTTTCTTAACCGCATTGCTGCCTGCCATTCACTGGAATTAAGTCGTTCTTCATAACTACGAAACAGAGCATCCGCATAGTGCGCAAGATGGAAATGCAGTTGACTTCGTTTTATGGCGGAAACCTTTCCTCGTGCCATGCAATCCTCAGCTAGTACGACTGCATGCTTCAAGTATTTCTCTAGTATAGTTCTTGAGCTGCATAACCATACTACAGAGTGAGAAAGCAGCAATCATTTTTTTTGTATAGGTGGCGAAATGCAGTATCACCCTTTAAATCTATTATTGCCTGTTAACTATTTTTGAATGACGCTTGCATTAGGTCCAGTGTTCGTCAGGAGCCTTTGTTTTGTTTGACTACAGATTTGTATGTCAAGTTCCTCCCACACACACACACACACACACCCCAAACCCAAAAAAGCCCTCCTCTTTTTTCTCGGTTTTGTGTTGGCCCCATTGGAGCCACTCTGAATATGGCGTCTCTATTGGGGATGGGCTGATGTACTAGGCTATGACGAAATCAGTAACGGTAAAGCAAGAATAAATTTATCAGAAGAAATTGGATATGGCTGGGCAGGAATCAATCCCTAAATGTACTAATCAATTGGTGGGACATTCAAAGAACATGTTGAAGAGAAAGAAACAATAAAAAGTGAAACATACTGGCCTTAAAGGGAAACATAAGATCAAGAAGCTGAAGAGACTAGGACAAGTGGGGAGAGAGAGCGCCAGATAAGAAGTCAAAATAAATATCACAATTAAACAGATGAAAAGCATCAGACTTATATGGAAACTTAGTGCCATTGTTGGAATACTACTGACTTGCTTGATCGTGTTTCAGCGAGCCACTTCCCAATTAACCGGAAAACATCAGATGCGTTTTCATTCGTCTGGTGGTTTAGTGAAATATACTTTGCAAGATTGATTGCCATCTGATGTTGGCCTTGAGCACGCAGAAGCTTAGCTTCTTCAAGCTGCAGCACATGAAAAGAACCATAGTAGTACCAGTATAATAGATAGTGGTGAACCAGTAAGCAGAGTTTAGCATCGATTTTTAATGTGAACGAAGAGTAAGAACTTGCAGCGGAAGAAATATCTGAAGATCTCAAAGTAAACCCGAGCAAAAAGAGCTATAGAGACCTTTCATAACATGGACTGCACAGAAAGTATACCTCATTTTGTCAGTTAACTCATCAAATATCAAGAAGCCAGAAACGTGGAAACATGTAAGACTTCAGAAAACTCATAATCAAATGTGTGATCACTTATCTTAAAATGTTATACCAATATAACTTCAGCTTGGATTATAATTTTTTTTTTTTTTTTTTTTTTTTTTTTTTTTTTGCTGTTAGTTGACAAGCACAGGTAATCAAGTCAAACATCTTCTAAAGTCTCATTTATGATTCTATGTTGAATCATTTGTATCACCTCATCTAAAATCTCAAATTCTTAGAAAGTGGATTTTGTCATAGCTTATGGTTTCCTGAGAAACATCAATGGAACATATGAGAACTAAATTGCACAGCTGCCCACTTGTATATGTCTTCATGGAATAAAAAACCATGTTCATACCCTTCCAAGTTACTCGATACTAGAGCACAAAGAATAATCAAATTGGACAAGCAGTCGCATTGCATCTAACATTAATTTATTAAAGAACGTGTTCATACCCGTCCAAGCCAATAAAGGTTGGAATGTTCTCCCATTTCCGCACAGAGAAACTTGAATTCATGCAAAGCTGAAGCAGCCTGAGAAAATCTAGCCACCTACACCAAGAAGATATTTAGCAAAATTATAGTGATCATTTCCAGAGAGTACCCATTATACCAGAATCACCTTGCGGAGAGTAGCTGCAGATTCAAGCAGATGTTGTACAGTATAATCCTGGCAATTTAAAATATGAAGCAAAACTCTTCTAAATGCCACAAATGGTTCCAGCAAATTCATATGTAACTGTGTTTGCTTCAAAGTGCGCTTCCAGTCCATGTCTAGCCATGATAACTGCATTGGCCAATTCCAAGTCAAAAGGCACAGTATTCAGTATGTTACTAACCGGGTCCATGATAAACATCATGAATAATATGCATGCAAAATGCTTCTTATTCTGATGCCATCAGGGAAAAATGGGTATCAGAACTATTCAATTATATACGGGAAATATAATTAAGACTATCACATGCCATATATGTAGAATGATACAATGTTATATTTTTAATATTGCGCTAGTTGACAAAACTAGCAAGGGTGTCAATTGTCACCCAATAGCTTTAACATTAGAGAAGCACTCTAGAAGTAAGAGTTTTAGAATAAGTAGAAGTAAAGACCGAGTGCCCGTTTGGATTGGCTTATTTTAAGTGCTTTTAAGCCAAAATAACTTTTAAGTTATTTTGTAGTGTTTGGATAGAGTAAAAGTATTTTTAAGCACTTGTTTTTAAGCAAAAATGACAAAAACAAGCCAAAAGTCAAAAGCTAGAATTCCTAACTTATGGCTTAAAAGCTATTTTGGCTTAAAAGTCACTTAAAATAAGCCCATCCAAACGGGCTCTAAATATGTACTGCAAGCTTAGTCAGTATGAGAAGAATGAAGTTGAGGTGATTTCCGACGGGATTGCGGTGCCTAAATGCAAATGATTTACATATGTAGGCTCGAAGTTTCAGGAGAATGGTATGACGAACAAGATGTTATGCATAGGATCAAAATAGGATGATTGAAATGGAGAAGTGCTACCGAAAGTGTTATGTGATACAAGGACACCTACACAAGTGAAAGGTAGGTTCTAAAGACAAATATAACATTGTTCAGGCCCTTTTCTACTTTTGGTGTAAACAAGAGTACATTCAACCCTCTCTATAACAGCCTCATTTGTTTCGATATTTTTTGACTTTTATAGTAAATGGTTATTATACACCTACAACATCATTTGACATTTAAATATTTTTTGGATGTTATAGATAAAAATTATCCAAAAATCAATTATTTTTCCTTTTTTAATGTTACATATAAAAGATAAAAAAGTTTTTAAATTTAAAATCTTAAAAGATATGCATATTTCACTAGTTAAATATTGAAAAAAGCTAATATATTATTAATAAATTCATAACTAAACGTATAAAGATTTAAACTCTAAGACAGACATTTTAAAGCTAGCTAGAAAAATAAATTCTTTCAAGATTGATGGAAGCATTTTGTAATTGTAGTTTGTTTCGTAGATTTCATTCTCTTAATAGCACTATAACGCTTGAATTGGCGAAGTCCAAATTTTCAGCAAAAAGGTAACCAATAGCTTCCCCTTGAAGACAATCTAAAAACTTATAGTTAAATTTCTATCTAAATATTTTTTGGAATTTGTCCAATAGAAAAGATATGATGTGCAAATCTTCAAATCTTATATCTTATGCAAGATAGAAACTTTGTGTAATGGAAAAGATTGTGCGCATATTTTTAGAATTATTATTAGTAACCTTAAAGATTCTATATGATTGTTATAGAGGGGTAATTTTACAAAGAGCGTTCTGCTATAAATATGGTTGTTACTGTTATAGGTAAAAAGTTGTTATAGAGAGGAAAAATATAACATGAAAAATTGATTCTGAGAAAAATTTGGCTTTTATAGTGAATGGTTGTTATATAAGGATGATGTTATAGAGAAGGTCTGACTGTATATGGAAGATCATGAGTCTTTTGTTGATGTCATAGGATCCTTGTAACAAATTAATAACTAAGAGACTCCTATACTCTTACCTGTAATTATGTACTTATCTTTGATGATTTTAATATATATGCAAAAATAGTTACCTTCTCAAAAAAGAAAAAAAAGGTCTATAGAATAGTTATAAAACCAACAATGTTATATGAGAGCAAATCTTGGGCAACTAAAGTCCAAATATCCAAAAAGTGAGTGTCTCTAAGAAGGACATGCTAAGATAAATGTGTGGTCCTACAAGATTAGAAATGATCATGTTCAATAAAAGGTGCAAGTAGCACACATCGAGGATAAAATATGAGGTTTCTTATAATGGTCTGGTCCTGTCCTACATTGACCTCCAGATGCACTGGTCTCTAGGTGCGAAACCATGGTGAGCGGAGATGTTTAAAGGAAAGTAGAAAAGGACCTTCAATCTCTTGGAATTCATACAAGCCTAGCGAAAATAAGCACAATAAAAGAAAAAGATCTATATAGGGGATACCATTAATTGGACTATGTTTTAGACAAGTTAATACATTTACTTCACGTCTTATGTTTTCAAGAGTCCTTTAGTCCTATTTGAGAATTACATGCCAATAGAGAATATAAAGAACTTGCACGACTTTATTATCAGTATTGTTATTATCAGTATTGTTATAATAATAATAATCATTATTATTATTACTACTACTACTAGTACTACTATCATAATAATAATAATAATAATAATAATAATAATAATAATAATAATAATTATTATTATTATATGGATGTAAGATGAGCTTAAATCGAGTAGCATAGTTAGTGAGATTTCGCACCGCCTATCCAACTTGCTTGGGATTGAAGAGTAATTATTGTTTTTGTTATCATAGAGAAACAAAAACTGTATAATACCTGAGTAATTGATGGGAGTACAGGTTTAGATGAGACCTTTGGCATCTTCATAGAATCCAGCATAGTGCAAGATGAAGTCCAACGTGAATCCCATGTCATCCCGAGGTGATAAAGTATCTGTAAAAGAATGGATAAAACTTACAAAGGATCTGTAGTTCTGTACTAATATATGTAATTGTTCTTCTTTCCATGGATAAGTTGCTTAGTGAAAGGGAACCTTAAGCACAATGTAATACATGCAAATGAAAAAACACAAATTGCCAGCCGAGAGATCAGGATACCTGAAGCTTAACTATAGCTTGATAAATGTACTTGGTGCTCTCCGCACTTGCATGACAGATAGACAGCAAAAGCTCCTAAAGATATCGAAAAGCAGCTACAAGGTGTAAATGTCCAAGCACACAACTATGAAAAAGTAACGATGACGTAGGACTTCTATACCTGCTTGGAATCTTTTAGTTTTATCTGGAATTCATCAAATCCTCCCTCTTTTAATGCTCTCAAGCAGCTGAATTACAACAGGCACAACGCAGTGAGGACAAGGCCAACAGGTAGAGAGCACTATTTACATGTAACATAAGTATTAACTACTGTGAGAGAATGCAGAAGAAATCATATAAGTAGCATGCGCAAGGAATAATATTATCAAACTAATGTACCATTTATTCCTTGTCCTTGTTCCTTGAGTCGAGGGTCCATCGGAAACATCCTCTCTACCTTCACAAGGTAGGGGTAAGGTCTGCGTACACACTACCCTCCCCAAACCCAAAGTGGGATTATACTGGGTTTGTTGTTGTTGTTGTATGTACCATTTAAAACTTGGCAGATATATTAGTAGATGGATCACCCCTTTTTGAACTTTTATTTCTTATTTTTTCCGAGAGATGGGAGTTATGATGGAATTACAAGTTACTACCTACGAAGCAGGCAAAGTATAATATCACACGGATATGATTTTACCAGCAATGTACAAATCCCCAGAGATTTCTTCCAATTAGGAAAAAATTAACACTCTAGAAAATATTCATTATTTCAGAATGGAACGGTAAAAAGTCAAGTAACACCACAGAAGTCACGAATCACAGGGTATTGGAGGCTCTGTGATTCTGAATGCCCAGAGCAGGTATCTGTAGAAAGGATTTCTTCAAGGAATGTTGTACAGAGGACATTCAATTTGACAAAATGAATATGGTATGAAAACCTGGCGGCCCATTTGCTTTTTGCACGAGGGAGGTAGCATGGAAGGTAATCTTAACAGTGTCAACTAGAAGGAAGGACGCGGACATATGCCAACTGTTGGTTAATGTTCTGGAGTGCTAAAAGAGCACAAATCACCTGTTCCTACACTTTAGATAGATTTTGAAAGGGATACTGATCATTACATGAGAGAAGGGAGGGGGGGAAAATTTAGCAACTCATCGTAACTGCACTTTCAGGTGAACTTGAAGAGAGAGAGAAGAGCTAGGAGCTGAATCCATTTCAACAGTTTAGTTAGGTCCTATATTTGTGTATCATTTCTGCGAGGATTAAACCAGAGGATTTTTTCCCGGATAAGTTGAATCAGAGGCAATTTACACTGGTTATTTTGCTTTTATAGAGTTTCATGCCCCATTTGTTGGAATAGATGGACTAATTATGCTTTCAATGGCTCAATTTCAGCTAATGAAGCTTTGAGTGAGCTTAAAGAATGAAAAGAATCAAAATTATGGCAAAAGAAGACCAAGTTAAAGTGAAAAATGGAAGAAAAGCTGAAGTTTGAGCTGAAGACTCTGCAAGGCTACGTAGGCTACGCAAACGAAGAACCTGAGAAGATTGATTTTTGGAGCATTCTGTTTTTGCCTACGCAACGCCTACACCAATGCAGCAAGCCTACGCAATTGTCCGAAGGGCAATTTTGTCCACTCTTGAGATAGATATTTTAAGTCATTCTAGGGCATCTTTTGGAAAGGCAGATTGGTGTAGTAGCTTATGGAGCTCTTCTTAGCTAATTTAAAGAAGCTTCATCATTCTCTACAGTCTTTCTTCCCTCTTTTCACTACATGTTTAGATTTTCATTTTACTTTGTATTTTCTTTTTCATCTATGTCTAGCTAAGTTTTCTTAAGCTAGGATTGTGAACCCTAAGTGGGGTTATGATTTTGGGTGATTAATATAAGTTCTAAATTTGATTAAGCTTTGTATTATCTATTATCTAATTGCTCTATGCTTTATTGATTGATTATGTGGTTGCAAACACTAAATTCATGCCTATTTTGCTTGTTCTAACTTGGAAGAGTGGAAATTAGCTTAGGTATAAAGCAATTAGCAAGGAATTAAGTGAGTTAATTACTTAATGAAATCTAGCTAGGAATAGTGTGATTTCTACTTGGGCTAATCAATTATTTATAATTGAACCTTAGTTGACTTGGAAGATCAACTTGTGGTAAAAACCTCTTAGTGTTGGAAGATATTATGTTGCTGAAATAGTATTTGAGGCCATAATACAAGCTTGGTTAAATAGAACTAAATACTCATATACCCAAAACATAACCCACACAAAGAGGGAGCAATCCTAGTGCCTTTCTTTTACTAGTCACAACTAGATCTTTACTTGCATACTATATGTTCGATAAAATTCCTAGCCTAGTTTAGTAGTAATTTTAAAAGTAAATTTAGAAGTAATTGAATCACCACTCTTTTGTTTGAAGATTACTTTAAGAATCACCAAGTTTACATGCATTTGGACATTTTAGCACACACGTACTCCTTGCGGGATTCGACCCCAATTTTTATTGGGTTTATTATTGCTGACGATTGTGCTAAGCTTCATTTAAAGGTGTGCCGTTTCATTTGAGCGCTACATAATTAATATCAATATTGCCGTTTGTATACCTCCGTACAGGGTGTAATCAAGATATAACACTTCATGCACTGATGCACCACAATCAAATGAACAAAGCAGACCCCATGAATCAACTAGGTTTAATAGTACCCGGAAAGTGATCCCAAAAAAACTTTAAAAGAAATCCTAGAAACTTGGTGGGTTGCTATAGTAGTGAGCACCCTCCACTTCTAACCAAGAGGTTGTGAGTTCGAATCACCCCAAGAGCAAGGTGGGGAGTTCTTGGAGGAAGGGAGCCGAGGGTCTATCGGAAACAGCCACTCTCCCCCAGGGTAGGGGTAAGGTCTGCGTACAAACTACCCTCCCCAAACCCCACTAGTGGGATTATACTGGGTTGTTGCTATGTCAAAGTTGATGACATGGCAAATACCAATTTAGAACTTCAATAAATGCAAGACCTCATCATACCTGTGGAGATTTTCATTGAAATGGTCACCTCCATGCTGAATTGAGAGGACACTGGATTCACCATAAAGTAGTGAGAAATCCCAATTTCCAGAACGCCAAGCAGCTTCATACTACAAATAGCACAAGCAACACTTGATGAGGAACCAATCTATAACATGAAGCATGTAAAGAACGTTGGTAGAAGCAGTGGTAGACATGTTTCTGTCCACAGAGTGCAGCATAAAGATGCAGACAGGGAAAGAACTACAACAATAACAACTATGCCACAGCCCCAAAGAAGTTGGGGTCGGCAATATCTCATCATTTCTTTCTTTAAGCTCAACTCATATCCATCATCATTATCAAAATAAAATACAAGTGAAAGAGAAACAAGCTAACTATATATATAGATAATAATATTAATAATAATAGTATTAAAGTTCTCTACCAAGTCTAAAACCTATTCCCAACTAGTAGGTATCACATATATGGATCTTTCTCTTTCATTATTCCCTATCTTTAGCTAAGTCTTAATTCCAAGGATTTGTAGGTTTTTCGAGACAGCTTCCTTCTATGTGATTTTAGGTCTACCTTGTCCCCTTTTAACACCTTCCACTACCATAATTTCACTCCTACAAACCGGGGCATCTGTAGGTCGACCCAAGACATGACCCCATGGAAAACTGTTTTTCGGCTGAGCATTTGAGTCATCTTATGTATGGCACTGCATAAGTCCGACACATAATCAGACAGCAAGCTGAGTTGAAAGACAAACTGTATAAGTTTGGTCGTTAGTATCATGGTTTTGCACACCAATGGGGCACTATTACCTAAGTTTATGAGCCAGACAGAGATCAGACAGCAAACTTATGTTATTAAGACTATAAAATTAGTTACTGCTATCACACCATTGTACACTAATGGGGCACTATTGCCTAGTTTTCTTGATCCTCCTTCATGGTATAAAATAGGGTTTATAAAAGATACAAATTAGGTCCTTGTCTAAATAAAGAAACGTAAAAGTTAGTATGTGTGAGAAATATGACACGGAAAAATTATATTATTGATGTACGTTAACTATAATACAAGTACCCCAATTTATAACAATACACAATACCTACACTACTCTTATTCCATGTAGGACTATGTTTATTTATATAACAACTAACTAACTAGCACTCCCCCTCCAGTCGGTGTATACAAATCATATGTACCGAGCTTATTACATATATAACTAATACGAGGACCAGTGAGATACTTGGTGAAAATACCTGCAAGCTGATCACTCGACTTCACAAACATTGTAGCAATATCTATAGTCAATCTCAATGTGTTTAGTTTTCTCATGGAACACTGGATTTGATGCAATATGAAGGGCAACTTGATTATCGCACACAAGTTCCATCTGGCTGATTTCACCAAATTTCAACTCCTTGAGCAATTGTTTGATCCAAACTAGCTCACATGTTGCCATAGCCATTGCTTGATATTCTGCTTCTGCACTAGACCAAGCAACTACATTTTGTTTCTTGCTCTTCCAAGACACCATATCGCCTCCTACTAAAACACAATATCCAGACGTAGAACGCCTATGAGAAGGTGATCCTCAGGGGCGGATCTACCTTGTAGTGTAGGGGTGGCACGCCACCCGCCCGCTTCAGCAAAAATTCTTAGTAAGTATGTTCATATCTATGAAATAAACATAATATATAAAAATTGGCACCCGTATTAAACAAATGGCATGTGGGTGCCATGGTTCAGCGCTGCCTCTTAAGTCTTGTGTTGGCTTCAAGGTTCTGAGATCGATTCCTTCGGCAGCGTTCTGGCCATTCTTTTATTTTTCCCCTTACTTATTAGTCCCTATCTCCTTTATTCTTTGTTGGGCCTTGGGCCCTCACTTCTTCTTCTACTTCTTTCTTTTTCCTCCTCTTTCTTTTCTCTTCCTGTTATTTGCAACTAAATATCTCTCATCTTCTTTTTTAAATTTCTTTACATTAGCCTTCGTTTTGCTTTTTACAATTCTACATTGTTTTATGAGCAATCTATTTTGATGCATATTTTTAAAATGATTCTAGGTAATGTGTAGTTTTTTTCATTCTAATGATACAACATTAGTTTATATATATAATTTGAGCAATACCATTTATTGGCTTGTGAAAAACAATATTTCAATTAATAGAGGTTTTGAGTTTTATTTTCATAGACGGAAAATTTGAAACTTTTGGTTCGGAAACAATTGTCATATAGCTTGATAATTAAATTGAAAAATTTCTCCAAGAACAATGATCATTAATCAACTCAAACAAAGAATACATAGTAATTAAGCTACTTTTTAAGAAACTTTTCTAATTGTAGGCGTATTTTCATGAAATATTATTATTATTTGTAATTTTATTCTAGAATATAATTAAATCAAGCATAAAAAATTGAACTAAAACCGAATTTATTTGTCTATAACCAAAAACTAACGGAATCAAGTACTTCTTATTCGGTCTTTGTGGCTAGTGGTACGTATGCTACATTTGTATAGTGACACCCGCAACCTTCAAATCCTGGATCCGCCTCTGGTGATCCAGCCCAATCAACATCTGAGTATCCAACGATCTGCTCATGGCCTCGATCCTCAAACAATAACCCTTTACCTGGAGCCGATTTTATAAACCGAAGAATGCGGACAATTGCATCCCAATGACTATCACAGGGAGAACATTCACAGGAAAGGAAATGTCAAGTCTAGTCACTGTGAGATAATTTAATTTACCAACCAGCCGCCTATAGTTCTATAGAGCGGTGGTCAGACTGGCCATGTTGTATGGGGCTAAGTGTTGGCCAGTCAAGAAGTCGCATATCCAGAGATTGAAAGTAGCAGAAATGAGGATGTTGAGATAGATGTGCGGGCACACTAGGTTGGATAAGATTAGGAATGAAGTTATTCGGGAGAAGGTGGGCGTGGCTCCCCTAGACGACAAGATGCGGGAAGCGAGGCTCAGATGGTTTGGGCACGTGCAGAGGAGAAGCCTTGATACCACGGTCAGGAGGTGTGAGCGGTTGGCTTTGGCAGGCGTAAGAAGAGGTAGAGAGCGGCCTAAGAAGTATTGGGGCGAGGTGATCAGGCAGGACATGGCGAGACTTCAGATCTCCGAGGACATGGCTTTTCATAGGAAAGAGTGGATGTCGAACATTAGGGTTGAAGGGTAGGGGTAGTCGAACGTTTTTCTTCTTTATGCTGGTGGTGAGGCTAGTCTGATAGTGTTTTATCTTAGTCTGCTAGTGGTGCTAGTGGCGTATGTTGTGTCACATTATTTTCCCGTTTTTGTTATTGTCTTTCCGCCAACTTTCCGTCTTTTACAATGTTGTTATTATATTATCTCTCTGGTTGTTGCTACTGGTAAGGATCTATTATCTCTATTCGCCTTTTGAGCCGAAGGTTTCCCGAAAACAGCCTCTCTACTCCTTCGGGGTAGGGGTAAGGTCTGCGTACACTCTACCCTCCCCAGACCCCATTTGGTGGGATCTTACTGGGTTGTTGTTGCAACCAGCCGCCTATATCTTGCAGGATCACTAAGCGGCTCCCCCTGTCCTGGCAAAAATTTAGAATTCGGGCGACAGCATGTTATTCCTGTCTCGTCAAGAATGTCTAAGGCATAGTTCCGTTGTGAGATCACTAGGTGACTTGGTGCTGCAGCAAGGCGATGTAATCGAGAGAATAATTCATCAACAGTAGAGACAGTCGGACTAGCTAAAATCTGGTCACGTACTAAATCAAGGTCATTAGGAAGTCCATCGAGTGTAAGAACTAGAAACATCTTATGTCGTTGCTCTTGTTGCTTTTCAATACTAGCAGAAACTGGCATCAACTTCTCAAATTCTTCCATGATTGCCTGTATTTGTCCTAAGTAAGTAGACATATCCAATTCTTGTTTCTCCAAGCTTGTCATTCGCGATATCACATCATATAAACGAGATATGTCATTAGTGTATAAAGTACGAGCCTTTTCCCAAACTAAATAACATGTCCGGAAAGGATGGAACAAGGGCATCAACTTGAAATTAATAGATTGCCACAGGATACTACATAACTGAATATCGACCTTCTCACAAAGTGTTTTGGCCTTTTCATCTCATTCGCTAGCCTTTTTTGTTAAATGATCTTGAACACCTTGACCTTTACACCACAACTCGACAGAAGAAGCCCAAGTTAAGTAGTTTGAACTTCCCATTAAAGGTTCTGAGGTAATCATAATACCAGAACTTCCAGAACCAGTGTTTTTAGACCCAAAAACATCAACTCCCAAAGACATTGTTGGATTGAAAAGAGGTCTAGCAAATTAGCACCAAATAAAACAAAGAATCAACTGTAGTTGCCGGAAAAACACTGTATAGCTGCCAGAAAACTAATGTAATTGCTGGAAAACTTTCAAAGTGCTCGGAATTAAAAAAGAAAATTATGGGTAGTCTCGGAATTAAAAGGCGGTCCAACTGTTCTGAAGAAAGTTTTTCAAAAAGTGGCCGGAGCGCGTGGAGTAGATCTCGCCGGAAAAAATTGTCTCTGATCGGCGCGTGAGAAGTCGGTTGTCGGAGGTGTTTGTTGGGGTTTGGTCGCCGGGGTTGGGGGACCTTGTGGTGGCGTTGGGTTTTGCACATGTGAGAAATATGACACGGGAAAATTATATTATTGATGTACGTTAACGATAATACAAGTACCCCTATTTATAACAATACACAATACCTACACTACTCCTATTCCATGTAGGACGATTCTTATTTACATAACAACTGACTAACTAATAATATGAAAAAAGCACCTCCAATCCACATTATTTAACCAAACCTTTATTAGGAATATTGAGCAAAGGCATCACAAATATTATATAGGTAATATTGTTGCGTTTACACCTTTGTGTCGCATTCCTGTAATGCCCTACACTACTCCTATTCCATGTAGGACGATTCTTATTTACATAACAACTGACTAACTAATAATATGAAAAAAGCACCTCCAATCCACATTATTTAACCAAACCTTTATTAGGAATATTGAGCAAAGGCATCACAAATATTATATAGGTAATATTGTTGCGTTTACACCTTTGTGTCGCATTCCTGTAATGCNCCAAAAGATGAGTGCAACCAATTTGCTGCAAGGATCTAATAAGGCCCTTATATGGTTTCTTTTCGATCATCTGATCTACTGCGGACCCAGATGAATGAAGAAAATTTTCAGGAGTACAACTACTTCCTTGAGCCACTGGATCAGATCTAATTTGTAAATCATAGTACTCAAGAGCTTTACTCCAATTTCCCTCATGTTCAAATGTGATAATTTGAGAGGTCAACTGCAAAGACCAGAATTGAAAGCAACGGACAAAGAGGTGGTCACAAATGCTAAATTTTCAAAATTCAACAATTCTGTGGGCAATGGCATAAGAAAAGAGCAGGGAATATGACAGGCTTCCCAAAGTATGGCTAAACTAGTGTTTAGGTTGTGAATGTTTTGCAAAAAGAAGAATATCATGATTATTATCCCATCTTATATTGAACGCCCTACTGTTAATTGAGTGTCAACTTGATGGGCATGAGTATTGCACATGGTAGTAAAAGGAAAAAAAAATTATTACTTCTACCAAATGTTAAATAAGGACATCATATTAGAACAAATTAGAAATATCCAAAAGAAAGTAAAAGTGAGCTTTTTCTCTTTTCTTTTTTCTTTGAGAAGGTAATTTTATCGAGTAAAAACAGCATAAAGAGAGTGCTCGTAGTGATATCTAAAATATCAACCTAACTGTAATTCTTCACAGGTTATGCAATGAGTTGATGAAGTAAGCCATGGTTTCAGGATCATTTACAACAGATATGTTCTAAAAGAAAAGTAAGTATACATTTTAACTTGAGACTAAATGTAGAATCCTTTTTCTCGTCTAATTCTGGAGTTCCTTTCTCTGCATATGACCCACCAGACTGTTACATGTATAGAGTTCCATATTTTGAAGAAAGCTTTGCTGATCCCAGCCCTTCTCCAGCCATTTTGAGGGAAAGCGTGTTTCAAAGTTTTTTTATCATAGAGTTTACCTTATTCACCTTCTATTAATATTCGTTTAATGAAAAAAAATAATGTCATTTAAGATTTCTATGCTAATAATCACAATATAATTCTTCATATGATAATTTAAAACAGTTATACACAAAATTCCAGGAAAGAGAGTACGTCTTTCTTTAGAACAATCAACAATGTCTAAAGCTTAACTTAGTTGAGACGAGCTATATGAATCACTCGTGCCCTTCTGCTCTTTTACAAGAAAATAAGAGTATAGTATCTATTTGTACTCTTCTTATGGTTTACTTGGTACTTTCGACGTCTCATTGTATGACAATATTACTATTTGTGCAATCAAAATGTTCATTCTTTTACTACAATATTTTAATAAGAATATTGTGACATAATCGTACTTTTATATTGTTTACAAAGTATGTCCATTTCAACTAGAAAACTTAAGGGATTGCTATATGAATTGAGACCAAGAATTACATAAGTTGAATGTTATTTAGTCAACTCTTATAGAATCAATCTAAATATAATTTCTTGATTTTGATAAGTTTGCTTATCAAAATTTTTATTTCATTACTTTGAAGAATTCAAATCAATAATTAATCTGTGAACTTAAATGAATCAAATTAATAGAGTATTTTGGTGTCTTCTTTGTACAATGAAAGTCAACTTCTTTTTAGATTCCAGATAATTACAATAAAACAATGTAAAAGCTCAATACATAAAAGTACAAGCATGTAAGCTCATTCAGATTTTTCAATATCTGGATTGAAACACTACTATGCTTCTTATGTAAAAATTTGTTAGGTATCAGCATGAATAATCCAATTATTATTATTAACAAACAGACTAGTTCTCTAAACTTTGATCTGATTTGTCAGTTCTGATGAAAGGTAAGTACGAACTTGATATAAGGTTAGAACAATTTTTAATGTTCAACAGATGTTAAAAATCACTCTGAAGTCCTGACAATTGATCACCTTTATTCTTAAATTATTTATTATCATTGTTCAGAAAATACATTCAGATAAACTTCTTTTTCCTGTGCGAATCGTCAGCTTTCAGATGCTTTTTGGGTGTTGGTCTAGTTTCTCTTCGAATCCCATCCTTTTTATTTCTTCGGTACACCTTCAGTACGTTTGTTACAACGGATTGAAGTACAGGGTAAATGGGAAGCGGAATAATCAGTTCTTTTCTCGAAATGAAATACTAAATTGGATAAAATAGATGGGTGGATCTAGAACACTTTATAATTGCAACGTCAATCAAAAGACACTAGAAGACTTCTATTATTGCAACGTCAATCAAAAGTATACTTCGAAACAATTAAAAACCTCTGATGAAAACTACTTTGATTTCGACTGTTGAGAGAAACTTCTGTATATACTTCAATCTCGCAGAAGATCAGTTAGAAAAATACCATGATTTGGTCCAAGGACACTTGAACGTGCGAAGCTAGAATCCCTACTAAAAAAATTAGTAGCTTCTCAAATTGCTGAAGTAAGGTCAAAGGGTTTATGACAGGGAATAATGTAGTCTTGATGTAAAAGAAAGACGAGCTCTCGTTATTCTTAAAAGCGAAAAGTGCAGAAAACAACAAAGTTCAGGGGGTTTGAAGCAAAAGAGAGAAACGAAGTGCACAACTTATGAAATTCAAAAAACATTAGAATTTAGAACTATAATAATCAAATTGCAATTAACAAACTAATTTCAGTATCCAATATACAAAAAAGTCAATATTAATCTAACTTCTTATAGTTGAGATTCAAAGGACCGATTGTTTCTCATTGAGATCACTTTGTGCATCATTATTTGAAGCAAACACCTCCCTGAAGTGCATGGCTTCACTCATGAAGTTATAACCCTTCATTCACATAGCTTCGTCCATTCATCACTTTAAGCGACGAAGCGATAGCTTTTAAGAACACCGATTTACAACATGAGGTTTAGAAAGCTACAATTTTCCACTCACTGCATTTTCTTTCACGTTTTATTCTCCTGCCTTCCAAGTCTACCACTTATACTCTTTTTCTCCCTCTTTTCCTATTTTGGATTACCACAAGAGGCTATCACGGAAGCAATAAATTCAGGAGCCATAGCTAAGATTAAACCATAAGGCGGTACTTGTGATATTTCGGCATGGGGTGCATTTATTTGGCATTTTTTGGATGTTAGATACTATGGGTTACTTTTTATTGGCATTGGAAGCACATCACGTTATGGCAGGGTAAAGTTTCACAGTTTAATGAATCGTCCACTTATTTGATGGGCTGGTTAAGGGATTATATGCGGTTAAACTCTTCACAAGTTATCAATGGATATACAACCCTTTGGTATGAATAGTTTATTGGTTTGGGCATGGATGATCTTATTTGGACATCTTGTTTGGGTAACTAGATTTATGTTCTTAATTTCTTGGCATGTATATATAGCAGGCAAGAGACAATTTTAAAATGAGAGTCAGAGTAGATAATAAATATGTAATAAGCAGCAGAGATTGGTGTTTATGTTCACTGACCTTGTGGGATTGGATGATTCCATAGAGGCTGTCAGGTTCATTTATTTGTGTCACTGCAGATAAAAGTATTTCAATGTGTCGCGGCAGCTGCAACATCAGAGAAAGTATGCCTTCAAAATATAGGATAGCTTCATAGCAAAAATCATTACTTTCTATATGCTAAGTGACCACAACGGGAGTGTTAACAAATAGGACACTCTAACAAATGATAACTTTAGATGACCAACAATTAAATGCATATATGAACTCACAATCTCAACATGAGAGAAATCTGGAGTNTTTGGCACTCACAATAGCAGACCTTGCAACAGCAAGATAATCCATAGAAATCCAATAAACCTAGCAAAACAACAGGAGATGGAAAGGGCATGAGTCCGTAACCCGAAGTAGAGAACTTGGGTCATAAACTGTTCTCTCAATAATTCAATCCAACGTCCAGAACACTAGAGGCCAAGAGAAAGACATCAAGTTTGGAATTCTCAAAAAATGTAGCTTACAACATCTTTGAAATGTGAATGTGTTTCACATATCCTCTGAATGGAATTATACAAATGGGATACTAATCCCTCAGCATAGTCAATAAGATTTGGATCCTTCAGTATGAGACCAAACACATTTCACCGTAAAATAACTTTAATAAATTACTTGGCATGTACACTTTTTAACGAGGATAATTATTTAGCAAAGATTCAACAACTTCAGAATCAAAATTTGACCAGAAACCCCTTGATAATAACAGGTGAAATAGTTCAGTGGAAGTGAATCCAGGTTTCCAATGGGGAGGTCATGATGATACTTGAACCAAACCCATCTAAGCCTTCAATCTGGTTAAATTAGCCAGCAGGTGATCCTGGCTTTCATAAAATTGGTGCAAAAGCCAGTTCAAGAACTACGCTTAGTTCCTAAATTAGAACGTGTGAAAGTTGATCAGGTGTAACGACTGGAAAGCAGGAGCAATATAAGGCCTAAAGACAGACCACAAAACTTAGTCGGACAAGCATAAAAGTAACTGAAGATTTAACAGTTGAACAACCAACAGAAGCCGCAAGGTCCCACCCCTTAGGGTTACTGAAAAGAACAATTAAAGCAAGAAAAACAGATAAAATTAGTCAGCAAGCAGCCAAACAATAAAGAACAGGGAATACTAATCTATGACAGTGTTCAACTGCACTACAACATAATAGAGATCAGAAACACCATCAAATGATAATCAAATACTGCAGAGTCAACAACTACGTTTTATGTACAGGATGAAGGAATTGTTGCTACAGAAGAATACATGTTAAGATTTATTTACCTTTTGCCATGACAATGTGGATATTGATACTACAGATGAAGTGGTTGTCTGATGCTTTGCCTTCAGAGGCGTGGAGCGTGACTTTGATCCATAGCTAGAAGGCCTTCCATATTGCTGAAATTGTTATATTACTTATATCATCTCTACTGAGTGAACTTAATTTTTTTTAAAATAAATAACAGAGGAAACTTAAGAACAAATTCCGCAAATTAGTAAATTAGGTATCACTCTATGAAGAAGTATCTGCGAATGCATATCATTTAAACCTTTGAATTTTCTCGCTTAGAGGGATTAGAGGATGTGCTTATTTCCATCACGTGACACAACCGAAGCTCGTTAAGAGCATCTAAGATAACTTGAATTGATTTGGTCAACTTATTGTCCTCCGTAAAAATGTTCTCTTGCACCTACATACAAAAGCAAAGAGTATTGATATTTTGTTCTCAATAGAAAGATGAAATAGTACCCTATGGATCTGATTTCCACAAGCATGTTAAAACATTTCGTCCATAGAACTCCGGATTGGTTCACGAAAAAAAAGGCACTTATTTACAATGTTTAACAATAGCTTTAAGTAAACGTGAATTCAATATATCACATGCAAATGGGAAAACTTGAAATAATATTAAGTTATTAACTGCAATAAAGAAAGAGAAATATATAGCTTGTAAGCACAGGTTATCAAAAAGGGAGCTACATACTTTAGTACATATAAGGCATTGACTATTTTGATGTTCTTGACCTACTATGATCTACAATTCCCGTCCTTTATCTATCAATTTAGTATATTCATGTGTGATGAACTGACTAATGAAGTATGCAATTGAATCTTCTAATTCTGAACAATTTAAATAGAGATAGGAAAAGGCATAATTGATTCATTTAATCAAATAAATTGGATTATATCAGAAGAAGTGGAAAACAAGGTCATATACAGATATCTTGATGCTTTAACCAATATAGGATGATGTAGGAAAATAATGGAAATGGAGACTTTGCAAGAACAAAGGTCAAAGGCGGACCGTCGCAAGAATCCTGTGTATACATATTGAATATGCAGGTATGCATACTTCAGTGAGTTTCATGACTAATTAAAACCAGTCTAAACTGCTAATTAATTGAATAAGAAAGACTGTACACAATGACATAAGACTAATCATGTTAATCACCCAAACAGTTAAATGGCTTAGACACCTAAATGAATAAAATAACCATGGAGCAACATATACTTAAAAGTGAATCATAACAAAACATGTTCTATGTTAATTGACTGAAAAGTAATTAATTTGCTTTTTTTTATATGCTCATGCCACATCACAAGATGGGGAAAGTCGTTAAAATAAGTGGAAGCCAAGGATAATCAAGATGGAACAAGAAAGAAACTATAACAATAACCTGTGAGGAGATCAGTTGACAAAGATCAACATCCACGTCTCTTCTACTAGACAAATTGACCATCACATAAGGGAACAAGAGTTCTGCAACTTCAGATTTCACCAAGACAATATCTTGACACAATCTGAAAGGACCATGAGCTTATTAAAGCAGCATAAACAAAAGCAAAAAAGCTGATAGTTCTAAATAAAGGGAGAGATGCTCTGGGAAGAAATTACCTCAGGATCATATCATCACAATATTCAATCAGAGCACAGATAAGAGGACAAATCCATGTCTCGAATGTTTTTCCATCAGTCTTCCATATAGCAGAATCCTTCAAGGAAAGTGCCTCAACTGCAAGGATATTAAGCAACGAGATACATGATTAGATGGAAACTGAAGTAGCCTTTTGTTAATGTGAATAACAAATACGATCTAGTTTATGCCCTAATTGAGCACAAACTCAATGGTACACCTATCAGTGTAATACTGAACATATGGAACATGACAATAGCATCTATGTCTCCAGATGTTTAGATTAGTCCTGATAGAACAACAATTTCAGTTTTCCAATGCAACTTTCACTAGCAGATGCTCATTGTTAACACCATTTCCTGTAGGCATCTAGACTTCTCTTAAAGCCAAAGGGACCCCATATTTCCTATTGGAAGGCCTATACTTCGAAACGCAATAGATTGAAACTCTAAGCCTGCTAGCTCAGTTTTGCCTCCTCCATTCATGAAGGCATGAGAGGCAAGGTCCTGAGGTTCCCAGAAAAACCCGGTTCCCAAAATAACCCCACGCAGGAAACAAAGCAATATAGGGGCAAAACCTACATTTCTGGATCCCTCATGATTTCGGCTTTGTAGTGGCACATAAGTATTCTTTAGCTTTAAGGAGAGTGAATGAATCATTTCCTTTTTCTAGGCTAGGGTCCCAAGCATAAATGTTTTTAAAGCAATTAACCCTTGCTGTAACCTACTAAAATCACTTGAAATAGTGTTTAGAGTACACCTGCCTTCTTTAGAACAAAAGCATCTAGTCTTGCATTTCTCTTAAAATCTTTTACAGAATCCCATGACTAAATATTTTTGTGGTAGATGAATCAAGAACATACAGTTAAATGAGATGGGCAGGAACCAATCCTTGTCATATCATTATTGTTGGACATCGAATTGGATCCCAGAATGATGTTTATAAAGCTAGGTTTTGCACATTTGATTTAATTACCACAATACCCACATCCCTAATGTACCCTTTATGGCATTAAAAGTTTTTGCATATCTTTACTATCACGTCGGTATTTCGCTAAATTTCCTCCATGATGAGTTTTAAACCCATTGTAATAGCATAGATGATAAACATCTTGAATGGTTCCTCCAAACCAACAAAATTTATCACATCAAAATTTAATATTACTAAGTTTCACCATCCTTTTTTTGATGAAGTTGTTTCATTAACAAAAGGCATCTAGAAGATGCAACGTTACAGGGAAATTGAAAGGCATAAATACTACTCCCTCCGTTCCAATTTATCTGAACCTGTTTGACTGGGTACGGAGTTTAAGAAAAAATGAAGATTTTTGGAATTTGTGGTCCTGAACAAGTCAAAAAGGGGCCAGAGTATTTGTGTGGTTATAAAAGCTTCTCATTAAGGGTAGAATTGTAAGTTTAAGCTACATTATTTCCAAATTTAGAAAGAGGTCATTCTTTTTGGAACAGACCAAAAAGGAAATAGGTTCACATAAACTGGAACGGAGGGAGTACTAAATGTTAGTCCCTCTACATCTTGTCATTCTAAGACAAAGGAGCTAACAAAATCCATTAATTGGTCAGTACCGATTACAGTAGCTAACTTAGTCCGGCAAAAAAGATTGAGTAAGCATTTAGCTTTGAGAGAGTGATTTGGAGTTGAGATTTCATCAAAACATCTGCTATTCCTCTCATTCCATAAACACCAAAAAATAGCACCAGGGATCATCAACCAGATCTTTTTGATGGTCTTATCAACTCTCCATAAACTCCAGCTCATGTGTGCATCTCTCAAATTCTGTGGCATGACCCACTTCAAACCAGAAAGACAGTAGAACATGTTCCAGAGGTTGGTGGCCACTGGGCAGTGCAAAAATAGGTGGTTGACAGTTTCCTCATTCTCCATACAGAGGTAGCATCTGTTGACCAACTGAAAACCTCTTCTGTTTAGGTTGTTTTGTGTTAAACATGCCTCATTGAGCGCAATCCAGTAACATCCTTGTAACATCATGACCTCAAAATAAAGAGTAAAACAAATTCAACTACGCAATTACTTCCAATCTCTTTGATTATCTGTTAAAGCCACTTCTAGGAACAAATGCTCGATCTTATATAGAAGCCAAGAAAACAATGGCATTGCATACAAACACTGAAAGCAGATTATGCAAGCTATTCTTGCATTACTATCAACGGAAGACATCAGACAATGCTGAATGTTGCACGTGTTGGCACGACTCTCCCTTCCTTGATACAGCCAAACCCCGATGCTTGAAACTAAAAGGCCACTCAAACTTATAAGCTATGGTACCTGATGCAAATACTGAACTGTCTAATTAATAGAAAGAGAACTGATTCCCAGATCAGTACACGAGAGGACAAGGAAATTTGTTGCTTTGACAACTGGGATTCCGAAAATAGTAATAAGAAAGCTATGTTGCTCGGACTCTACGAAAATGCTGCCCCACCCGTGTCGGATCCTCCAAAAATGCACTAAATTTGGAGGATCCGACACACAC